GGTGCTGAGCCAAAAGGAGGGATCAGAGATGGAGGAAGGCTATTTGGTGGATCTGAAAAGGAGAGAATCAAGCATGGCTCAGGGTCACTTTTTGCCACCTGTAGGGAAGCAAGGACATTAGGAGATGAGTGAGCGAGAAGGTTCATGCATCCCAAAGCTTAGGCCTTGCTGAGGGGAGCATCAGAGTCTCCATACCCTCCCATCTTCCACAAACAGCTCTGGAGAGAACAAAGGTTGTTAGAACCTCCAGGAAGAGGCAGGAGGACGCACAGCCAGTTCTCTAAGGACAAAACTAGGGAACGGTGACCCTCCCAGAAATTCATGGCTCCGGACCTGTGGGTCAGAGAAAGAAAAGGTTGGGACTTAGCTAATTCCAGGACCATTCTCACCTCTATACAATCTGCTCTCACTTCAGATGATTACCCCCCAGACCTGGAGACAGGGTTTTTCTGTGTAGCCCTGGCTGTCCTGGAACTCACTCTATAGCTCTATAGACCAGGCTAGCCTTGAACTCTGAGATCCACCTGCTGGGGTTAGAGGTGTGAGCCACCAGATGGCTTTTTTGAAGCATGCTGACATCAAGCCATTGGCTCTGCTGTCCCTTTCCCTCCCAATGACTACCTGTCCCTGGATGGCAAGAGGCAGTACTCCTGTGAAACTTTCTGTTGGTCTGCTGTCTGAAATACCTACCGTTGCCTGGTGAACGTCCCCTCACACCTTTCTTCAGTGTTCATTTTCACTAAGCCGTGAGACCTTTTTGTCCACTCCAAGCCCGTGGCCTTGTGTTCCACAGCACTGTGTCCCTGAAAGCTTGAGATCTCTTCCTGAGTGTGACTTAATAGATCCCCACGAGAGACCTGGGTTCTCCATGGAGCTTACCAAAAAGTCCCTCGTAGCCTTCTTGCCTCCTCCTCAGGGACTTCAGGACATCTCAGGCACCTCATTATGGTGCCTACATGTCTGCCCCAACAGGAGAAAGAAAACTTATTCACTGGTAGGAGATGGGGGAAAGCCTGGAAGACCATGTCCCCTTCACACTCACCATACAACCGGTTAGACTTCCTGTCTCTTGTCAGAGCAGTTGGCAGTTGTCCCTCTCTCTTAACCCGGTAGACATCAGAAGCACCTGAGACAGAGCTCTGAGAGATGTGGGACTTCCATGACCTTCACTTTGAAAATCTTTGGACTTTTGCATTTATATATCTATTTTTTTTAATCTTTTGGGTCTTTTAATTTTAGCATATTTTTCTTAGGGCCGTAAAGGCTTTCGAAACATGGACAAAGTGGCACTTGATCAAGTGAAGACTTGATCTCTCTATGGAGCACTGGCGTTAAGCACCCACCCACCGGAGGGGCTGTGTGATAAGGTTAGAGCTGAGCCTCCAGGAATGGTGGCTCATTGCCCTCTGAGGGTCAGTTCCCAGCAGGGGTTGTTAGTGCCAGTGTGTGTGTGTGCCCCTCTTCCCACATTTCCCTAGGTGGCTATGGCAATACCTCTGTGTCTCTTCACTCTCTGCCAGGTGGCCGAGTTGTCACTTGCTCCCTTCGCCCCACCCAGAAGCCCTGAGGGCTAGGCCACAGGGAAGCCTTGTTGGTATTTTTGCTTCAGCTAGCTCCCACTCAAACCTGACACCCACAGAAAGGTCAGGCCTGTGTGGTTGCACATCCCCGTGCCTGGCCCGCCCCAGCTGTTACCATGACGACTGCTGGATTGGAAATGTTCGTGGCCATCTCTATCAGCACCCTGGGTGGCTACCCCAAGCACTCTTAACAGCAAAGCCCTCTCACAAGAAGCTCTGGAGT